CTTCCCTTTGAATCCCCTTTGAAACCAACCAAAAAAGGAACCCCCTAACAAACGAGACATGCCCACTGGCATTTTTGCGCGGACGGCATCTTGTTCATTGCAGGCGATTGCAGGTCCTCGCCCCACACTGCCCCCTTGTGCTCCAGCTGGTTGTTGATCATCGCAAGCCCCTTTGAGAGAATGCAAAGCACCTCGGGTGCGACAGCTCCATGGCTTGAAAACGAGGGAGCATCTATGGAGGCCGGCTGGAAAAGGAAGCACAAAAAGTCTGAACTCCGAATTAAGGAAGCTTCAAATCGAGCTAAGGCAACTGTCACGCGGTTTGCCCACCGCAAGTAAGCTGACCTGAAATGAAATGTCCTTTCGACCTACACGTTGCCACGCATCGCTCTGTTTCAAAGTCGCCGAGTCTGTTTCCAGTTTTGGAGCTGCACTTGGCCATCTTTTTAGGGTTCCCACGGTCGCTTTTGGCCCTCAGCAACTCCTGAGGAACAGTCACATAGTCACATAGTGTGGGAGGCGCACGCCCAGAACCACTGGGAAATCAAGCTTGTGAGATGTCATTGCGATCTTATGCTTGTTTCTTCATGAACAGGCTGCTCTGGATCTGGGCTGTGAGGTGTGCTTGTTCCTATTGGGATTCGATCACACTGTTGCCCATTGTCCCTCTGGTTCCCCTCCCCCATCTCCACTTCAAGCAGGGTACCATAGTGCAAATGTGGAAATGTCCCGAAAAAGGGGTAAGAGGGAATTCAGCGGCCTGCGCATGCTCAAAGTGCTCCTGCTGCGCAAAGGCCAACGCCTCCAAGCGCTGCGAGACCTCGCCGGGCCGGCGGTTGCGGGGGAAGATAGATACGTCCACAACATGTCCCCAAAGAACTTCAAGGTTACAAATCAGTAAAGCAACGCATAAGAGCGGATACACCTGTTTGGCTGCGGTGGCTGCACAATAGCTTTCAGAAACCCAGCGGCATACCTACGGGCCTACGGGATGCTTATATATAAAACTAGTTAAACCACTGACTAGCCAGCCTCCTGTCCTCCCCTTCAACGCCACTGGCAAACACATATAGGGCCATCTGTTCCCTGGGTTTCTGTAGCTTCACGATTCGGGAGAAGGGCGTACTAGCGCCAAATGGAAATTTACATATCCGGAGACTGCTGAAAACTACGAGAAGCCTCTGGCAAGCCCTGGGGATGCCAGGAAAGAAAACACAAATCACCACCATTTTCTGATGGAAGGCCCAAGCCAGTCTCAGCAACGCCCGTGATTCCACAACCCCCAGCAACAAATTGCAAGACCAAGAGTACAGGCCGGCTCATGAAACCGCCAATCTGCAAGAGTTCAGGTGAGGTCGTGAGAATCTGCTACATGTCGATCATCGTTTAAACATCGGATCTGCGTCTACGGGGACAGCGACTGGGTGATGCATCTTAGATAAGTCCATGGTTGCACAAGCATGGAAGGAAGCCAATTGCTGCGGGCATTTACTCGCTTAAACAAAAAAACCCAAGTTAGCCAGTGGCTCTAGAGAAAGCGAACCCGTTTGTTGGAGTGATAGTGTTCAGTGGGCAATCCACTTATCAAAAATGGGCAAAGGGGGGTCACTGAAGAGGGTCCCTTAAAAAGAACATGGCCCATGTCGAAACCAATTGAAACAGGGACCCTGCTGAACATCTCAGGGCTTCCTATTTCACCCTTTCGGCTTCACCCCACCAAAATGTGCTCACTGTAAATTGGCCCAAAAGGTGATGGACAACATCATCAGAAGGGATACAGTGGGTTGTCTCAAACTAAGGGAAACCCTAAAAGTGCCAATCCTCAAAAAAAGGAAACGCTGCATATGGGGAACCCTGCATGGGAATGTCCTACCCCAGCGCCTCTGCGATGCAAGCGCGGAAGTTCCATGCCGGCAGCCCAGTTTTGCGCTCCTGGTCTTCCATGAGCCTGAAGGGAGGTCTCGACAGCTCGAGGGAAACCAGGTGTTTCTACACCACCCGACGCCCAAACTGGATCTGGGAGGCAGTCTCTGGATCTTTTCGGGACAGCGTTTTGATGAGAGTTTCGCTACAAGGAGTTCCTTGCATGCCCCAAGAAAGCATGCGATGGCCTCGCTACTGATTGTCAGCTAGGTTGCAAGGGAAAGGCTGGAACCGTTCGAACCGTTAAGGCACTCGTCCCCCACTCTGTGCCGACATTTTAGCAAAGGTCTGGGCATTCCAACCTTCAACAACGCACCGGAAGGATTGTGCAAGTGTCAAGTTCATGCTCGGGTGAATGACTCACAGCTACCAATCACCCGTGAGAAGCTGGACGCCCTGCCTATGGTGAACAAGAGTTGTCGATAATGCTGGTGTTATTTTTTAACATTAAATGCTATCTGTTGCGTCCATTTCAGCCACGGTATTGCCAATGAGAAAGCACATGCAATGACACTCAGCAATTCCAGATATCCGCATGGGGGTGAGTATGTGCGTCATAGAGCAGGTGGGCCCTGTGGATATTCTTGGGGACTCTGCTTTGACCACTCTTCGACCCAGAAACGACAAGGTTTGTCAGGGTTGCCTTTTTGCAACCCCTGCAAAAACATCACCCTTGCCAAGGAAAGTCTATAAGGATTGACTCAAACGGTTGTGTTTGAGCCAGCAATTGCCCTGTTTGCTTTCCGGCTACCTAACATCGGATTCCCAAACAGGATGGGCAAAGGCAAGGTAAACCTCAGGTGGCCCAAATCTGGGCAAGCCACCTCTCACAGCGCTACGTGCACTTAGAAAGGGCTCAAGCTTCTGTGCAACACGAACTTACAACAACCAACAGGCAACTCTGGGTCGACAAAATCACAACATGATTCGGATATGATAAAGACCTGTGCAAAGGACCCATGACAGCGAACCGGGCCTTCAAAGCCACAAATGATATTCAGAACCTAGAACAATTGCCCAGCAAGTTCCGCATTGCAAGCCAAGGAGCTTCATGAAGGTGTTGAAAACGCTCACCTTCTGCAGCCAGGGCAAGTTGACCTTGCGAGAAGCCAAGGGCTTGCTTCTAGGATGCCAACTTGCCCCCACCCCCCCACCCCCCGGGGTTTGCATCCCATAAGCTTACCCCAACAGGTTCGACCACAAGTGACCGGGAGCCAAGAAGAGCTATGCCCAACCGGCAGAGTAAATTGGGGACATGCGGAACTTGACTTGGCGAGAACCATATACTTCCACTTGCTTTGAAAGCACATGTTTACTGTTTACTAGCCATGGCAAAATGAAGTGTCAGCGGTGCAAGTGGATGTCCATTTCCGTGGGGACGCACGTCTCTCAAGAAGTTACGAGGTTCAAACAACATCCAAGGAATCGTCCGGACGGGTTAGCCCACTTTGACGTGTTGATGTAAAGAGTTTCTGTCTGTCTGACAAAGTCTGGCAAAGTGTGCAACTGAATTGGACACTGCTGGATGCTGTCAGGTGTTGCTCTTATGGCAGCTTCCTTTGGAGATGAAGCTCGCACACGATTAGAATTGGTACCATCCTGGCCCAAGCTAAACAAGCCCTTCCAATGGACCCTTAGTCACACATACCCGTCATGTAAATTTCATGAAAGCTATTTGTACTGTGCTTTCTTATTGTGTCGATTGCAAGTGGCAGCTGTGAATTCAACTTTGCCTAGGACCACTTACAACTATGGCATCACTCAGGCACTACTACGATACAATGCGAGCAACCCGAACAAAAAGTCCATGCGAGCAACTTTCGACAAAACAATAACTCCACCCAAGCTGGCCTTGAACCAAAAAGGGAACACCTGGAAACAACCTGATGTTTTGCCGCTTCGTCTGAACTGACGCCCCGTTTTCCAAGAAAAGCGACCCGTTTCCAGGCCGCCCACACCGAGAAAAACCGGGGCCCCGCGCGGCAGAGCAGACCTCCGAGCGCAGCTGCGGGCTCATCATGCCCCTGGGCCGGTGAGAACCAAAACGCCAAACCACTGGGACACGTCACGTTGAGAACCTCAAAAAGGCTGACCTTGTCTTGGTTGCTCTTGACCCCGCAAAAAGTTTAACGTTCTGGAGGCTTAGTGGAAAACACATTTTTTCCCCAAAAGTTAAAGTCTAAAGATCCAACCCAATAGCAGTCAAGTTGTGGAACCCACAAGCCAGGGACTGCGATCGGCAGCACAACATGTGACCACATTTTGAGGGACTCAGCCGGCACCCCCAAGCGGGAAACTGTGGAAATCCTAAGGAAGCCCTTGGGGCAGTGGTTTCCGCCGCCGAGTGTGTCATGAAAAACGCGCCGCAGCGAGTTATTGTTGTGGGGAAGTTTGTGTGGTTCAAAGCAGCTTTGCGGGTCACTTGGGTCCCTAAAGGCCATCAACATGATCGCGTTTCTAGGCTCGTTTGGCAACATGTCTTGGCTGAGATGGCCCTGTTTTTCTAACCCCAAGCCTGGCTTTGACATCTGATTTATCCAAATGACGACAGCTTGGTGACCACAAAACAGGACCCCTGTTGCTGAGTGTCCTGTTCGGAGCGTCTTTGAACACTGGAAAACTATCCATTTCATGTGGCAGCCTGAAAAGACGTACAAGTATTGGCTAATCCATTTGGGACCCAGTTTGGCTATCAAGAACCTCTCAGCAAGCTGCCCTGCCGACACCGAGCCAAGGCTCAACAACTCCAGTTGGTTGTTGTGCAAAGCGAGGCTCCGGTTGTGCCTCAATTCCAGGGCAAGAAGAACGGCAAAAAACATTTACAGTAGACATCTGGTTCTTAGCAAGTCGGAAAATGAGTCAGGGGGGCGAGCGTCTCGTCTGACATGTTGCTTCTTACAATCTAGTCCTGCCTGAAATTCTAAAAGAGTCCGCCTTTAAAATACGGCACGCACAAACGTTCATGGTCTTACTAGGGTTGCCACAGCCAAGGCTTCGAATGGCATTCTTGCCAGGGGCTCCCCGCACCGCTTCCCCAACCCACAATGGAGTCCCATCAACACCACCTGCCAATGATATGACATTATATGAAGGCTGAGCCGCGCTCGAACAAATCTCCCAAAACCAAACCAAAGTTCATTGACAGGACACTTTGATCAACCAAAGAAGTGTGGATCAAAGTGGACTCCGCTCGCCCGAAAAGTTGCGGTCTGGATCTCAGGAGGCGCCTCTGAAGGCTGGAAAGCAGCGATCCGTCAGCAAGACAAAAGCACCACCAATGAGACAATATTAAACAACAAAAACACTACACCGATTTTCAAGCACGGTCAAGCCAACAAATAGCACAACATAGCAGGCGTGGATTTTGAGCGCACCGCGGGCAGAATGGGTGGCATTACCCCTCAGCTCGGGGCAAGGGAGCTGGGGTCCCCCCAGCTACAGCCGCAAAAGAGATCTTAGATGCCCAGTGGCCAGGAGAAAAAAGGGCATCCTTTTTCTTTGGGTTCTGTTTAAAGGGAAGCCTTCCCACAAACAATAAAGGAAAAAGGGCACCACTGGGCAACTGGGAGATAAAAAAACAGTTGCCACAAAGTCCTCCCGATTTCAACCGAAGGCGCAGGAAGAAGCTCCGGAGTCTTCGCTTGAGGTCCCTGGGAAGACCCTCGCTTCTCATGAACAGGTTCAGGTGGTGCATGCCTCGGATGGAATCTGATTGCTTTGAAAAAGGCTCCACCTGCCAACCTGCAGCTCCCCCTGGAACCCGCCTCCTTCACAATGTGAGGATGTACAAACTTCTGAGAAATCCGAAAAAGCAATGGATCCCATGAACGCTGCAAGCAAAATTTGTTGGTGTCCTCATCTGTGCACCGCAGGAACTTTCTCCCCCCTCTGCGAGCCGAGAATTTCGTCCAAGCGGCGTTGGCGGAAGGACTGACTCTCCTCGAAAGAATTGCCTCTTTTGCAGCCTTGTTGACAAACGAACACCAAAGAGCAGTTTTGAACATCAGAACAAGCTGCTCTTCACAAGGCGGGACGCTGTTCCCAGGTCCAACCCACCTCTATGGCTCACATGCCCGTTTCAGTGCTCGCACGTAATTGAAATGAAGTTGTCCGAATATCTACAACTTGGTTGCTAGGACCTGAAAATGCAACGCCACTTTGGAGCCCATTTGCAGAAGCCAGCTCCAAAGCATGGACCTAGCGTGCTTCACCTTTGGTTTCCTGTAAACAGCAAAATGCAATGCCGAATGAGTAAGTTCAAGCATATGATATCTGATGATGGTGTTAGTGTGTGCTAGGTCAATACTCGATTCCTGCCTTTCCCTGTGCCATTACTTCTACACGGCCTCCTTCTGCAATAACATCCGCAGTCCGACTGAATCTCATGCGTAAAGAAACCTTCCGCAACGTTGTGAAACTTATCAAATTCACAAGAATCAACCCCTGAGCCAAGCACCAATCGCATATGTGCAAGTAACAACCGAAGCACTGCAAAAAGGTACAGACATGACAAGGGCACTCCCCAAGCGGCTTGCATTCGGTATGATTCGAATAGCACCGAAAACTGGACACCTGGTCACACATACCTTGAGGAAATCCCGGACAATTGGCTTGCCTTGTTGACTGGCCAAGGAAAAGTCGGATTTATTCGGCCCGTCAAAACTAAGGCAGCCTGGCCCCAAAATGGTTATGACTCATAACACTTCCAGACCTTCATGAGAGCGCAGGCGCCGGATCTCAACCGGTCCTCATTGATGTCTGCCACAATGTTGCAGACTTGGCCCAGCACATAGGCCCAGCAGAAGCCAGAACACATCACCTGAGGCCCAGGTCTTCACTCAGTTGTATCATGGCTCAACTGCGGCCCAATCAGGAAGCGACCCTGGTGAGGGCCCGCATGTCATGTAGACTTATCTCTCTTGGCAAAGGTCCAGGCTGGGCTCATGAGCCAGGTGCAAGATGCTGCTCATGCCCTGACTCTTGCATGAAAAGTACATTGGGCTGCCAATATACCAGGGACACCTTCTGACATTTGTTGGCCACTGTGTGAATGGAAAGAAAGTAATGGGAACCAGTCACTAGAAAAGACCTATCAACAACCGCTTGTTTACATCCAGGTACGCTGAGCTTTCATTTCCGGCTCGAGCGACCGTGAAACCAACTGAACGCATCTAAGTCCAAGAAAATCTGGCACAACCAGCCGTGAGACAATGCCCCCGTTGCGACCAGCAAACTGGGGGGGATGAGTTCACATGTTGATCCGCATCGTTGGCTCGGATTCATCTTAAGTCCCTTGAGAACTTAACTTGTAATGCAACACCTGGCCCAGCAGTCTGTGGTTGAACTACAAACCAAAACGCAGGGGCCTGAGCCCTGCACAAAGGAGAGTACGGCCAAGCTTTCCCATGTGGAACCAAACATCAACAAGCCGGCTTTTCCCGGCAAAGGATGCTGGGGACCCGGCCCGACTCCTGAATAAAAGATCACATAATAAAGTCACTGTTCGGCTCCCTGGCTGACTTTCCACCTTTTTCGACGGGTGCCCCATTCCATGCATCACTCCGGCGTTGGAATCAAACTGGGTCGTCTTCGAGCACATGTGGAGGAATTTTACAGCATATCCAAAATAGTGGCCCCCTATATGCTTGGTTTCCATTTGGCTCCCCTTTTGATTTACCAAAAAGGGGGCAGCCCTTTTTGAGTATCTCTTCCCAATTTTGCGGATGTCACAGAAATTTTCCCAGTCAGACCCGTCTCTTCTCCCCATTTCTCTTGCTGGGCTTCCGCACCATGAAGGTGGCCACCAATCGCTCCAGCAAGTTCTGAGGGCCCATGTCCCCGTAACCCACCGAGGTCATGGTGTAACCTCCGGCCGGATCAAATCGCGCTGGAGGCAAGGCAGAAAACAAACAAACTAGAGGGCAGTGGCGCGAAAACATGTTGCCGCCATGCCTCATCAAGCCCCCGATCCTCCCTTATCCTCCCACCGAGCACCTCGTTTCCCCCCGTCCTTTCGCTCGTAAAGTTATTGGTCAAGCAGCTGTTACGCTGCCTTCATTGTACTGCGGTGCTCGGGAACTTTTACTCAGGGAGACATGTTGTCGTCCTTTGCCGCGTGCTACTGCGCCAAACCAACATGGCCATTGCAAACAAACTTCTGTTGGTGCGCCAGCGCTACGTTTGCAGCCAGGCACACTCCATAAATGAGAGCGCTCCACATCATGAGCTACAAACCTTGGCTCTGCGCAAGTGCAACTTTGCAAGTGGCTTCGCAGAGTCGCGCGGCAAGATGCAGCTGTATGCAAATTGCTCTGCGCAGGCTGCGCAAGTTCACTGCGCAGGTAGCTCTTGGCTCTTGCCGCGTGCTCTGCGCGTCTGCGTGTCGAACCTCTGCACACGCTGCCTTGTGTAAATCGTTCTCAAGCGGCTCTTCGTAAGTGCTCTGCGCGAGTGCTCTGTTCAAGTTGCTCTGCTGCGCATGTCTGCCAAATTCCCGGCGCAATCATGTTCTCCACAGGTTGCTCCGCGAAAGGGCTCTCTGCAAGCTACTTCACGCAAGTTGTGATGGCCGTGCGCAAGTTGCTCTGCCGCCGACAGCTCGACGCACATTTCTCCACGCAAATTGCTCTACGCAAGTGTTGCTCTGTGCAAGTAAGTCTGCACGTCACTCTCCGCGAGTGCTCTGTGCAAGTTTCTTTGTAAATAATCGTTTGTTCCTGTGAATTATTGAAAAGTAACGATTTTCGAGCCGGAGCTGCAAGAAGACTTTGCGTGCTACTTCTGTAATTGCCTAAAGGTTGCGATGTTTCAGCTGAAGTTGCGGGGATGCGCTTTGCGTATTATTTGGCTGCGGTTGCGGATTTCCTGCCAGCCCAACACAGATCGATCCCGCGACGAACCACGAGACCACTTCCAAGGACCAACCCGCAAGCAGCAAACGACAACCACGATCCTTGCAGACAGGGCCGCGCCGCTAAATCGTAGCCCTCGAGCCCCCACAGGGTTGGGGCAACGCGTAAGTTAGAATCCAAAAGCGACCCACGCACTGTTAAACAACCGAACAAATTCCTCAGTTTCTGAAAAATGGACTACCCGTTAGCAAGCCGAGGTGGTCCTCAGTTTTTGAACATCCACCACGCTGATCTTCGCAGACGGTCCAATTCCCGTGTGCCTACCCCCCCGCCAAAATAGCAGAATTTCATCAGCGAGCTCTCTTTTTTCGAAATTTACCCCAAACTGACACCGCTGCTGCCCCTACGCTAGTTTACTTAATACCCAAACTCCTTACGCAAACTGTTCGCACCAAACTACACTCAGACTACATGTCATGCCCAGGCTACACCCAGATTATATTTCAGACTACTCGCCTCTGCGCAGATGGCTCTGTGCAAGTTGCTCTGCGCAAGTAGCTCTGGACAAATGGCTCTGTGCAAGTAGTTCTGTGCAAGTTAATTAGCTGTGCGCAGGTGGCTCTGTGCAACTGACTCTGTGTAAATGGCTCTGTGCAAATGGCTCTGTGCAAATGGCTCTGCGCAAGTAGCTCTGTGCAAGTTGCTTTGTGAGACACCGTCCAAGGGCTCCGCACAGAAGAGCCCGTCGCCATGCTTTCGGGAAAGCAAGAAGAACTGAGAGCTTCTCTGCTGACTTGCTGAGTTGCCTGCCCAAGAGTGCGAGACTGTTGGGGTTGCTCGCTGGAAGCAGGTCCAAAAGTGAATTGAAAAAGGTGCGCCGCGTCGGCAGGTAGGTTCTGCATCATACGCCATGAGCCCCCGGCTGCTGAAGTAAAAGGCGGCCACATAGACACGAGCCTCAGAGGCAGCAAACGTCCAAATCAGATACGGGCAATATCACAAGCGGCTCAATCGAGGAAACACAGGTAACATCTGATACCACGCCCTAGAGAGTATACCACAAACGATCTGTGAGGTTGTCCGTTGCTCGGATGATGATGCCGGAGGAATTCGCAAGTCAAACTTGCTGTGTGCGGAAGCCGACTTGTCTCTTCCAACCAGTCAAAAAGCATTGCACGTTGATCCTTCCGAGGTTGCATCAAACTCGCTAAGCCCTTTTTGGGGTGGATATATACAAGGACCGCCAAAAGGTAACCTGGGACCCATAAAGCATTCCCCGATAGGAACTCATTTCAACAGCCGGCAAACATATTGGACTCTCGGCACACGCAGTCGCTTGAACCTTAAGCAAGGCCGCAAGAAATATCACAAGATCGTTAACCAGGGCAAACGTATAAAAAACAACTCTCTCTCTCTCTCTCTCTCTGATCTTCACCCCCTTGGCAACAGCTGGGAAATTTAGAACATCTGACATCTGCCCCTGCCCAGTGCCAACCTGGTCACACCCAAGCGGGGCGAGACGCTGGCCCCATGGTGGCTCCGTGCAGTTGGTCTACCTCACTAATGTCGTCCATCCAACGTGGATACTCCTGGCGCATAGCAAACGTTTGTGTTCACTCTTTCTAGCCTTGCCACCAAGAGACGACGTACCAAACATTGTGGGGGGGTCTCGTTTTTATTGTACTCTTGTAGCCGCTGGGAACCAAAGGGAGACCAACCAGAAATTCCCTTGTAACAAAACAGATCACGTCACGTAGGTCAAAGGTCCTTGCAGCAAACCGCCAAATTTCTCCCACATTGCCGACCAGCACCCCATGCCTTTGATTGAGGGCTCGAAAAGAAACAACACGCACCGGCCACGTTCACACCCCTTGCAGAAGGCATACAGTCCCAGTAGTTGTGGCCGCGTACTCCACTTCCATCGGCGGTGTGTAACCTCCATGTCTCCAAAAGCTATACCGGACAAGCACTCGGCCTTAAAATCGAAAACCAGATATACGCCCTTCAAGGAGCTGTATTCTAGCATGCTGTGTCTATCCAGCAGATCCAATCTGTGATTGATCGAGTGCCTTTGAGAGATCCCCTGCCATTGGGATTAAACCTCAGGCAGGCAAGAAACTGACTGCTTTGTGTTGGAGTTCTGAGGTCTGACTTTTGCAGTGCCAAACCCAAACAACCGTAGAACAAAAACCTGAAGACTGGAACAAACTGGCATTTGGCATAAGTTACACCATCACCCATCGTGCAATGCCTGACTAAAATGGGCCATGACAGCCAGGACTTCAGACTCTGCGATCCCATCTACCCCCTTCACAATAGCTTTTGGATAGTGCGTGGGGTAAGAGCTCTCACAAAGCTTCCCAGCCACAAGGGTCTGCCGGGCCAAAACGCCATGTTCCAAGAGTTTGACAAAACCGCTTTTCATAGTGTCTGTTGCTTTGGGATCGGATATAAATCGGGGGAGGGGAAAAACACACACACATACTGGAACCAACAAACGCACGAGCTCAGCATCAAAGCCCGCTCCTCCGAAACGAGCTTCAAGGTCAAGGCCCAAAGGCATGCTAGCCAATGGCACCTCACGCGACTTGCTTTGGGGTTCGGCACGTGACGAGTCTGGGTTTCCCCTGTTTTGGCCATTTGCGGGCACTTGTACCTGTAAAGAGGATGCCATTCCCACAAACATTCATTCAATCCTGGCAATTTCACAGTGCCACCATGAAAGTAAGAGATTGAAGGAAAACTAAGGAACTCCGAACTTGACAAGTTCCACTTCCGGCCCTCCCAGGTAAAATTTGCAGGAAGAGTGTCTTATGCTGCGCTGCCAAAAGGCTCGCACTGACTCCCCGTAATCGTGCGATTCGGTCCACAGTGAGTTCCGGGTTTCCAACTTAACATCCCCAACGAAAACTCACCTTTGCCCCAGATGTGAAGCTTGAAACCACGAACAAGGGCCATGGGGGTATGGGTCAATATTAACATATTAAACCACCAGAGGATCGCAGATTTCCATTTTGGGTACCAATTCTTGGCTGACAGCCATGCCGGGAATGGGCTCGCCGAGGTGCACGAGGGTCAGTAGCAGCAGAAATCTTGCGAGCAACCAATGCTGCCTGGCAGTCCCCAACTTACCCGTTTGCTCCGAAGCGGACGAGTCGCTTGTGCAGCAGCTAACGTGCAAAAGAGCGGCCAAATCCAGGAAGCCAAAAACTCAACACGATCAGTAGAGCAGGGTGGGCTTCTACTTCTGGCACAAATCTCAGGGCTGGAAACTGTGAATGGCTCGGGCTCCAGTCGTCACTCAAAAAAAACATAAGCGTCTTAACGTGCAAATGTTTAGCTGCACAGTTGTGAGTCTCAAGCGCTTGAAACGGACGTCTCTTGCGCGACATATGATTGAACCAGTGACTTGTTCTTCCAACCAGGGCTGAGGCAAACATGTGCCGATCCCCAACAAATACCCAGTTGTAACCCACTGAGATTCAGGATCAGCTTTGAACAGCCTAATTGATTAGCGGATTCCACACAAGTTGAGCAATGACAACATACTAGAAATGGTTTTGGGGGGTTCGGCCAAGATCAGCGCCAGGCCCCTGCTCTTCGAGGGCCTAGCAAGCTATGACTCTGACTCTGCCTGGAGCCGCCTTGCACCCGACACAACAAGCTCGCAGTGGAAGCTAAAGCTGACCGCACCACCGCTATTGATCTAGGGTCCCTTTTTCATGGAGAATGATGTCCATGTCTTCCAGCACGATCCCCTGGTTCATACACTGGCATTTAAGCTTTTAAGTTCAATAGCAATCGGGGGTCAATAGTGCTGCCCTGTTGGCCCCATTGGCCCAATGGCTTTGCAACCTGACGAGGAGCCAATCTAGACGGGCAACCTTTGGGCGGCAGCATGCAACATTTACAAAAGCAGCTGCGCTTCCACTCAATTGATCTAAATAAAACAAACTACAGTAACTACAGTACGCAAACGAAGCCGCAAACAATTTTGCAACCTGCACGGTTGTGAGGAAATCTGGCAGGCAGCAAATTCAATACAATTGACGCAGTTTGGATGCAAGCAAACACTCCAGGCCGTGAGGTAGTGATTAGTACAGCCCCCCCTCCCCGGCACACACATGTGGACCAGTGCTGTTGAGAAATTGTCTGGTATAGCATCTGGATATGCATCCGCATCAATGATATGAAGACATATATATATATATGTATATGTACACAAGATAGCTATCTATATGCAGTATTGCTTGAGTGTTGTTAGCACTGGTCCGCGCTGCCGCAGTATTGCATAGGCTTGTTGTGTCTTGTTGTACTGTACTGGCATGGTGTACTTTAAACGTGGGCATGAAACAAGTATGTAGTACATATATATTGTCGTGTTTGTGTTGGTTCGGAGCTGGTGTGCTGGTTCAGAACTGGCTGCTGACTTAAAGTATTCCCCAGCCACGCGGGCGGGAAGCCATATCCAGTTTCCCCCCCCAGCAAGGATGCTTGTCAGTGACTTGTCTGGATCATCAATTCTCTACATGTCTCTCTTTTCGGTGCAGTTTTCAGATCAAGGAACATCTTGAGACAATTTGTCCTCAACTCTACCCCATTTGCTACCCAGAACTTAATTACAAGCCTTTCCAGGGTGCCAACTTCGGGCCCCAAGCTATGAGCCCTGGGGCACAAGTGGCAAACTCCGAATCCGAGGGGCTGGTGGGGGATAGAGTAGGGAATCTCGATCTTTGCAAGAAGCCTGCGCCGGGAGACTGGCCCACTTGACCGCTTGATGCGCTAACAAAATGCCAGTGCAGGTCCCTGGGCACTCACCATTTGGGAGCATACCGAAAATAGCTTCACCACAGGTTCTCCTTGAATTCAGTCGCACCAGGGAATGCCTCTTTACACGCGTGTTGCCTGTCAAATTGCGACCTGTTCCAATCTCTTCCCCACCAGCGGCTACACACAGACTCAAAACAGAAGTCAACACTGCTCAAACATCGGCAACATGTGGTTGCGATAGATAGGACAAATGAACAACGTGTACACACTTTCTGATTGGATTGGCCAAAGCAAAGTTACCCACCTCTTCCAGCATCATGGCAGAAATAACTTGACCTACCCGAGGATTTTTTTGGGGCGGGAGGCCCAGTTATTCACTCGCACCCTTGAATCCCGCAACAATCGATTTGCCCTCAAAAAGGGTTTGCTTGTTCCACAAGGGTCACTAGACAACTCTCTTTAGTGTGACTTGGTTGAAAGCGCAGTCTGCGGGAGATCCTTCTCACACTTCGCAAAAAGCAAGCGGATATCTAGCACTGTCTTGGACGCTGCCCAAAAGAGTGATAATGGGATAATATAATATGGGATGCTTCTCGAATGGAATCTGAGATGTAGCATGTCATGTTTTTCCAGAGAATGCCACAAGGGGCTGGACCATGTGTTCATCTTGCCAGGCGTCCTGCCCCAACAATAGGCCCCGCAAAAAATGGTATTGCTTTGCTCCGGTCATGCCCATATTTCTAAATAATCACTTGGCAAGCAAGTCCACCATTCAGGTACGGCGTAAAAGGCTGCCTCAAGCGTTGTTTTCTTCGCAACGCGCTGTTTCCTAGCAGGTCAGTTGGTTTGCAACAGATCTTGCTCCCCAAACGCAGTGTTTTAGACATGTGGCGGTGCATTCAGCCGTCATCGCTCGAGGATCTGCAAGAATTGTAACAGTTTGTTGCAGCCCTCACCTTGCAGGTCGCACCACGGGCCAGTCACCAATGGGTTCGCGGCAAACACGCAAACTGGGACTCCAGCACATCACAACTTCGATGCAAGTGGCCGCACACATTTCTGCCCTGATCATTATAACATTTTGTCTCCCAAGGCTTTCTCATGTCCAAAATGTGCGGGAGGGAAAGCACCGGAAATTCGCGCAGCTCGCGTTTGCGCAAAACACACCCTTGCCCACTCCCGCCTCCCCGGCTTAATCAAGCGCAGCAGCTTCAGCAACCACAAGACACGCGCCACTTCCGGCGCCAAGCCGTAAAGACCTGCAAAGCCCTAGTTTGGCCATCCATGAAAAGAACTCGTAGTTCTGCCTGCGAGTGGCAAATGGAACCACGACTGACTGAAATGAAACTGCCAACCATGTGCTGCCCCAGGTATATGTTGCTGTCGCGTTTGGTCATGCAGGCGAACTGCGCCAAAGCAGCGTGGGGAACATGCTTCAGATGGAACGAACTCATACTCTAAGTGACCACTGGAATTGCGGGCATCCCTTCGAGGCCATTCCTTCGAGGCCTGTGCGGTTGGCGCGGCCGCTAAGTCCAAAACTTTGTTTGGTGGAACATGAAATAAATACTAATCGAGTAGTAATGAGAATTGGCCACATATAGTATACTATAATAAAAATGACACATACTTTGTGTTTGATTGGTGTTTGTTCCTCTCATTTCAGCATAAGGTAAAGAATCATGACCATGATATATTCTCAGAGGAAACGCTTCCCGGAAATATAAGCAGAGGAGTATCCCGATTGACCCAAATGCCACGGCCGTGACCAAGCCAAGAAAGGGCATACTCTTCCGCACAAGAGCACCTGGTACAGCCAAAGGGCCAAGCCCCCAAACCAGAAAAAACGCAAATTATTGCACAAATCTGAACCTCAGTGCATGAGTTCACCCTGATAAACCTACACTTGTTCATATTCAAAATGAAAAACATGTTCCCAAGTTGATTTCCGTCAATCAAATAAAATATCTAGCCTGTTCGAAATCCGCGGGGGCCTAATCGCAATCCGTAATCCGCTTAATCCGCATTCTAGCTGGTAACCCCCATAATCCGTAATCCGCACGGTTTATCGCTATTCCAAGTGGGCCTGACAAAGCCTCATACCAGTACCAGGCATCCACGACTCCATCCTGGAACAGCCATAGTGTCATTTTCAGTTCCCTCACAATGTAGTTGGGTGTCCTACACCAAAACGGTCTAATCCGTAATTAGGTTTGGGACAGTTTAGAATATGTTCAAGTCATAATATTGTTCGGTATGTGAAGTGAAAGAGGCCGTTTTAACTTAGCACTCAAGCAAACAAATGCGCACCTATAACCTCAACTGACAATGATTGAGTAGAATGTTAAATTACCTGGAGAGGCGGGTGAGTAGCGACCTAGGCGCAATGTTTGCACAGCTAGCGTTGTGCAAAGCGGGTCCGAATTCAAAAACAACGACACCTAGGCACAAGATTTGTTTGGGGGACGGGGGGAACTTGTCTGGGAGGGAATCAATCGAAGTCGGTACCTCCCCCCCACCCAGCTCAAGGGTACCCTGGTAATCTCGGGAACTCGCATAGCCGTTTCTAACTGAGATGACTTGCTCTCGCAACATGCCCAATCTGAACGACAAAGGGGGGGTTCCCGAGAACGTGCACGAAGTGGCTCGACTTCGGGCGAGCCAAAACTATTGCACACAAAAACCAACCCAAAGTGGCATTCCAAGGAAGGGATATAAATGATTGTTGGTCTTTTTGCCACCCACCAGCTGGCTCAAGCTCAAGTGGTCTTGAGAACACGGTGACTGGTCTGACTTGACAGCCAAAACGGCAACACGAATGAGACTAGTTTAGCTGAGGTTTCTCTGAAACCTCCCTACCCCGGCGCGGCCGTGGCTTGCGAACTCGCGGTTTGCAGCGGCGCCTGCGACGTCAAAGGGGATGGCGGCCACCAGGTCGGGCAAAAACCAGGTCTGCACATAATGCAGAGCGATCCTGCACCAGCAAACCATCTGATCGAGTCGTTTGAATGCCAGGGACCTCCCCGGCCATGTAGGATTTAGACTTGGCTTCCTGAGTGTGACTCTCCGAAAAGGGAGCGCAGGGACTCTCCAAAAACCCCAAGCGATCAAAAATCCGCTCAGGGATGAAGCAACCCTGAAGATGCCAACCAGCCCAACCATGGCGACCAAATGGCCTGCATCTATCGAACTCTCGACGGAAAAGAAGAATCAATTCCACCCTGGCCTGGCAACCATGAATACCTCAAGTGACTTGATTTCCCGAATGATCTCTACAAGAAGGGCTACCGAGAGCTTGACTGGTTGCACCGACCCCCACACTCGCCGTCAACACGTCAAGCGTTAAGCGCTGTCTGCAGCTATCACTGCCCAAAGCCTTGAATCTGGCCAGGCACAAAGCCACAGGCCGCCAATGGTAGACTCCAAGCGAACCCAATACGCAAAATGCATCTGTAGGACACCTTCCATTCCACCTTTGATTTTCCCGGTCTGGTTTGGAACAGGCCTAGGCAGCGCCACCCCCATTTGCCGGCCCCCTCAGAAGCAGATCTCAAGCAAAAGCCGCTTCAAGGCCAACTTTCTGGCATCTGTACACGTTCGCGATGCCCCAACCCCCTCCCCCCCCCCTCCCCCAAAACGGCCATCATTGCTTAACTGAGGTGGCTTTTCCCCCAAACTGCAAGCGTGCTTGCAGTTGACTCCCAACAACTCCAACCAAACAAATCTATTGCAACATGATGCAGGGGCTTCCGCGTTCCCTTGCAACATTTGGGGAACCAACTGCGAGACTCTCGCAATCGTGGCCACTCCTGTCCAAGCGCGTCACCCGCTGAATGCCCCTCGTTGTGTGCCTCACCTGCTGCACCTTGGAGCAAGCATCCCACAACTCAAAGCTGTGCCCGCTGTTGGACGCCCTGACGTTGGCATTGAAATCATAAGGAGGCCGTGTACCGGTGGACTCACCCTCCCAGTCAGCCCTTGCCAAAGCACAAGCTATTCCCACTCCTCACTGGAAAGCCTGTGCCTCGCTTGGTGAAGATTGTCATTTTGCTTCGCCGAGCAGCGGGACTTATCAACACATGCCGCTTTGTGGATGCGCATATAAACGCCCTCCCGGAAATCGGGTGTCAAACTTTCGCCCCGCCAATTCCACGAAATGACCTTATCCCTCAGCCTTGACCACCCTTCACCTCCCAACGGAGATGCTTCAAACCGAGGAGGAAATATAGCGGCTCTAAGACGTGACCCCGAAAAGCAGAACCGGATAGGAATACATTGTAGCTCATGCCACCCCTGGAAGATAATTACCCCGAAACACCAGGATGGTAAAGGCAATCAACCCAATGAAACTGCACATTGCGTGCTAGCAAGCCTCAACTATTCCTCCAGGGCTTCCTGCATTTCTCCTTGCAACATCACCCCACCTAGAGCAAGCTCACTAAAAACAGGCAGCCAATAGGTATTGTTGAAAACTGCCTAGGGCTTAGGGAGCTCTGGGGAACGCTACTCCCCCATTGATAGAAGTCTCTTGCCCAAATCACATTTGGGCACGCGACCTAATATGGTTTACCAAAACTGGAAAACCTAAAATAAACAATTTGGATGATTCACCTTCAGTCCCTCAGGGCCCCAGAATTTCAATTGGGGCTCTGGGGGGCCCTGAAAACTAAACGACGACATGAGGCCCTCGAGCTCATTCCAGGCCAAGGCGCGAAGAAATGCAGGATCAGATCCATCACGAAGACCAGGTCTACCAGCCAGCCTCACACGCAAATTTTCATCGGATGCTATGCAGTTCCACGTCTGACTTCCCGGAGCCCAAAGAAGCCAAAGTTGTTTGCCAAAGAAGTGGTGCGTCCAGAATCATGGTGGAACATGTGTGGAAGCCATTGGGCCACGGCTGTTGAAGCCGAGGTTCACCTCAACATCTGCACAGCTACTGATGGCTACTGGGGGAATCAGCCCCCTTTGGGCCTTGGTGTTTAGGGAGCACACCGCGCGACAACAGGATGCAAAGCCATGTGCATCTCTGAAGGTGCTTCAAACCTGTCTCAGTGGACTTGCTGCTGCGGTCCCCTTTGGGGCAACGCCCCAAGAGCCGCCTACCAGAGGACAGTAAATTTCAAGTATCAAGCGAGCCCAAAAGGCCGTAAAATGCTGGGGATCCTCACGCAAACCAAGTGAGGGTCCCACACCTCCCAATACGCATGCCCAACTGTTTCCGCAAATGTCCACGTCTGGGGCGCGTGTCAAGCTCAAACGTCCAAACAACCTGACCTGTGCCAAGGTGCTGAAAATCATCCAGGGCGAAACTCTCAACTCCATGATGCATGCCTCGCACGAGCGGCCTACATCATCTTTCTGACAAGCCGGGGTTTTCCAGGGCCCAAAAAGCATCGCTCTTCGTTTTGCCCGCCACTGTTCAAAGGGAAAGATATCCGAGCAGAAGGGGTTGGGCACCATTGGACGCATGCGTCATTGTACAGCAGAAGTAGGGTCACTATACAGTAGTAGCAGAGCTATATTGAAGCAACTGTGTCCGTTGGGGTAGTGGTTTGGGGATAACACCCGACCGAATCGACCCGAGCTTAACCAACATGACAAAAGTGTTCCGGTGATGCGGTTGCAGCTCGAAGGACTTTTGTGGCCCGTGCAGTGGCCACTCATCGCGAAGGGATTGGCCCACTACTGTCACGGTTGACTATGTCCCTGGATGCGGATCTATCTCAGAACCGATCTGGTGACGGATGTTGCGGGTTCATGTGTTGGTTACGCGGCAACGAACAGAAGGACACTCTCCTGACTGCCGTGCTACCGATCCAATCATCAAGAGCAGCGGAGCACAACCCCCTTGCCTCGATCACTGGGCACACGCGCCAAGGATACTATGACATGAAGAATTCCTATAGCTTGCAGGCTCTATTGAGTGCTGCCCCCACGACCACCAGCAATCAGTGGTTAGTTGGTTAGTGCAGTTTCTGGTGATTTCCGCGCTGGCAATAGCACAACAAGAGCATCTTGCCCGTATGAAAGCAGGCGAGCTCATTCAAGTGACACTCCGAAATCACCCTGGGAAATCCGCCCCCATGGTCCCCCATTCAAACAAAGTCCTCAAGAGTTCCCGTTTCCCTTCACATGTGGCTGAAAAGGACTTCCAAACGGCCGAGAATGGACTCTGGCCTGTAGAGGCGTGATCAAGGTCGCCCAGGCGAGGGCGACGGAAACTATGGGCTGCCAAACGTGGAGGTACCGGCCGCCCTCAGGGTCGACGACCTGAGTCGAGGCCCGGGTGTAAACATGGCTTGTTTCCCAACCCTTGGAAGGGCTGGGCAAGTGAAAACCTCAAAGACATGCGCCACTATATGTCGCAAGCTTCCAGTCAGCTGTTGAGCCCAATCCACCGCCATCTGCAACTCACAGAGTGCCACAGCAACTGGCCACGAGGCCAACCAGGCGCTGGAGCGAGTGCCAGGGGGTGCTAGGGAGCAGCCTCTCAAAGATGTGAAGTAAGTCTTTGATGGCCATTGAGTTTGGAGGTCGACGTCATTCACAGGATCATTTACAGGGTAATATAGATGGTGTCGCTTGGCTGGGCCCAGCCCAACCCATCTCAAAAGGTGCAAAGCACCTGTGCTTCAAACCAAAACGAGTAAGATTCTCTCGAGGCTAGGGTTCCACTCCCCCCGCGTGGATCGAGCTCTCAGGTTTGGCCCTTTTTGGCAAGGCACGTACCAGGGCGGCATCGCTGCGGTTGTCCTCAGGGTGCCCCCGCAGAAAAACATGCGTCGGAGCATGTCGGAGCCTAGTAATTCCAAAGCTGCACCGAGGGTCAATCTGACACCTTGGGTCGGGCAGGATGTGTTTGCCACCCTCCAAGGAACTATATAACAAATAGCCCTGGCCGTGAGAGGAAGCAAATGAGAAACAGTAAATGTGCATAATAAGTGGGAAGGGTGGAAGATATTTCCAGTTTGGCGTGGGAATGGATAACTGGAGCATTGGAGAAGTACCCTCTGTTCTACTAATATGAGTAGAAGTATATCCGTGATTCGGACTTTCTGTGGGGTGAGTTTTTGTTCATGCCGGGAATTAACCCCCACAGTTTGTCTGTGCATACTGTTGAACATATCGAATCCTGTCGTTGTCTGAATTGACCCCAACTTATTGCTGACAATTTTAATCCCTGGCCGACTTGCTATACGAGTACAAGCATGCGCCCTCACCGCCAAGCAGAATATCGCCCAAACTGCACAGCACCACATCCATAAATTTGGGACCACGGCCAATGGCTTGAAGCAGGTCAGTAAACAACGTACCCGTTAAACCGACGGTCGATTTTTTTGCCTTGGCGAGGATTGAAATACCTAAAGCCAAGGCTCGATCGCTGAGCTAAGAAGACCTCCTTCACGCGGGAAGGCTGAGTAAACTGAAGATGAAAGCTCTCGGTTATTTTGTCCAGGTTCTTCTCCCGGTTTGGCTCGCATATCGCGGTCGAGGTCGAGGCCTAAAGCCGGTGTGCCAAAAGGAGCCGCTGCCTTATCCCCTTATCCCCCGGGGTGCGTCTGCTAAGCTCCGCTTGTGGTCCTTTTTCTTGGGCCACATTTAATGCAGCACTAAGTATACAAGGTGTCACCTACACCCACTGCAACAACACACTCTGTTTGGCAGTACGGTGTAAAACCCTGAGGTGCAAGACGAGGGTTTCATCAAAGAAGCGCCTTTGATCTGTGAATATGTCTCTTCGAAACCTGGAAGTGCAAAACTTCAAAGGACTGCCCAACTTGAAATCGCCATTTTGGTTTGAACAAAACCAAAGCCCCATGTTGTCCTGCCCGAAAGCATCTGTCTGGATTAATGCCCGGACCCCTGGATAACTATTGCGAAATTATTGCGGGCATCTATTCTGGAGGGCCTCCTTGACTTTGTTGGGGGAAGGTCACATTCTTGAGCCGTAGGTTTGTTTCAGCAAGGGATGCTCAGGGCAACAACGGGTTTGCCGATTGTCCAACCGTCATGAACGTGGACAGCGGCAAATGAGATCGACGGCAGTTGCTGCAACACCCCTGTCCACTTCTTGCATGATGGTTGGAAACAGGGCAGGGGATGTCCAACGGCCCAGAGCTTGCTGCGCCTCGGGCACGATGCTCGAAACCGCCTTCGGCAGGATGCTCTCAACCTCCTTCGGCCATGTCTCTTCCGCGCTTGCCTGCGTGGGGGCTCGGCGTCCGAGGGTTCGCATACTCGCCTTTTCACGCTGATCCTTGGGACCGCCCAAAGCCGTAAGCACAAACTTCTTGAAACAGGTCATTTGTGCATGTCTAGGTTTGTCATAGGTTCCGTGCACAACAGTGGCTGTGTCATCAGCATCCCTTACATTAAGCAACCCCGCAAGCAAACAGGCTAATTGAGGAAGGCAATTCACAGTTTAATTGATTCCTCAGGGCTCTCATCTCGACCTTCTGCGTCTACGCTGAAAGGCACAAATGCGTGTTTTCGATCAAGCATTGGTCACCGAAAGTGGGACTTGGTCGCGCAAAACCGCTGATTAGCACATTCAGATTTGTCTTGAATAGATCAGTGAACACGCATGACATGTGCTTTAAGGCACGCCAACCAGAGCGCCGCTGGCCGCACAAACTGTTTCGCCGAAAATGCAAGAGATATAACCGTCTTGAGTCCTACATGTGACTCCCAAAGCTATCTGTCTGTACAATTTATTGCTATTTCTACCTCGTACCTCGAACTATTAAAAACCAAACAAAACATCTACCTCGCAAACTTAAGGGTCCACCTAGCACCTGTTGCAACCGTGTTTTTTCTCATACGTGCGTGTTTTCAAGTTGTTTTTTGCCAAACAAGCAGCAACGGCTGGTTTTTTTTTTGAGAACCTGATGAAAAACAAAGAAGGGCCGGATGTTCTCGAACTGGCTTTGGAGGACATGACTTAATGAGTGGCACAGAACGGCCGAATTCTCTCAAACCTTCAAGCTTTGTAGGGCCAAATAAGCAGAAACGGCTGGTTTTTGAGAACCTGATGCGTGTCTTGAAAGACAGGGGTCGGATTTTCTCAAACGTGCGTTTTCAAGCCTTTTTGCGGGGGTTGGATTCTCGCACACCTAGCCACACTTGGCGCGGTAGCCATCGAAGATGAAGCCCCGGTGCGCCGAACCACTTGAGTACCCCCTTATTTCGGAAACCATCTCGCACTTTGCGGTTTGGGGCTCGCCTGAGGCCAGCTTCTTGCTGTGGGTCGCGCTTGGAGTTTCTGAGTTGGTCTTGGCAGCATGTTTGGTTTACAAGGGAGGGAGACAACGCAACGCCACGCAAGCTATCAGCGCAGCCTGCCCAAGCGAAGTGCGCAGGTCATCCCACGCCCCTGCGGCAATGACAGGCAGGAAACTCACCTTGCGGCCCGGGCAGCGTATAAGTGGGCCAACTCTAGCCAGCACCTGTCAGTCTGGCCCTTCTGGGGCGCTGTGGAAGCAGCGGTCGTCCAACCTTCTGCCGCCCCAATCCCGTGAAGCGTTTGGCCAAGGCAGCATCGCACTTCGGGCGCCAGCTGTTGCAGGCGATTTGCGGCACATGGCCCCACGGGATCAGCTCTGCATGCGTCGTGTGTGTCGGATCTCTCTCGCTGTGGCACCATTTGACTTTGCGCTGCGCCGGGCCAACCCTCTACGTGGATCTCACACATTTGGTGTCTCAAAAATCTGGTCTGAAATAGTAGCGCGCGACACACACACACAGACACACCTGCCCACACAAGAGCCCAACAATACTCAAAATGCGAGCCGGGACAGACGGACAGACGGACAGACACGCGGAGACAGACAGAGAAAAAGAAGAACAAACAGAAAACAGACAGAGAAACAGAGACAAAGAGAGAAAGAGCGATCCCAGAGACTGACAGACAGGAATAGGCAGTCTCTGACGATCCGAAAACATCAAAGCTAGGCAGAATGTTAGGCAAAAAGACAGAGACACAAACAACTCTCCAAATAAAATTGCTAAGCGCACGGCATGCTACTCGGCACCCACCATGTTCTCACGCACGGATTCCTGTTTAGTTTTCGCAACACTCGCAACCGAAACACACGATCAATACGACTTCTCCCAGGTTTCAACAAGATCGATGCGACTTCCCAACTTGACTGCAAGGGCATTCCCTTTTCGGGCCACTTGGTTTGACGGTTGTCTTAAATTCCTTGCTCCGGTTTCCGCCATCTTCGCGAGAAAAAACTCACTTTCGCGAACCCCATCGCGGAACTTTGGCCGATTTCAATACGAAAATAATACTCTAAGTAAAAAGTTATCCACAGCCCCGTCTCGAAAGTCGAGACGTTACAGTGCGAAAGCAGTACACAAGAAGTACACTTCCGCAGTCCCGCCTCGAAAGTCGCAACTGTTCAATACAAAAGTAGAGTGCAAAGTAAACATCCGGAGCCTCAGCTCGAAAGTCGCAACCTTTCGGTTTCAAAGTAGTACGCGGAACGCGCTTCCGCAGCTCCAGCTCACAAGGCGTGCAGCAGCGCACAGGGGGATCCGTTGACCGCCCATGTCCGGAAACTGGCTGGGAGGTCCATCGACTTTCGCGAAGCTTTTACGCCAAAGTTTCGCAAAAATCCGGCTGGAAGCTGCACACAACTCACAACTTGGCCCGAAAGTTTCAATACTCCCACAAGCTGGTTACTGCTGGGGGTTGCCAAGACCAGCTTTAGTCTGTGTGCATTCTGCGCGCACAGCCGGCAAATACACGTGTTCCCGTTGGCCAGCCACCCTTGCACAAAACTTCGCGAGAAAATAAATAACTTTCGCGATACCCTTCGCGGAACTTTCGCGGAGGCCAACGCTAGGACCAGAAAGGTCTTCCCTTCATATCTCAATGCAAGGACCTTTCGGACACCGAAAACAGTCAAAGTAAGTGCCAAGGTGCGCGCAACTTGGCGTTCTCGAGCTGCAGTTGTCTCAGGTGCTGGTGCTCCTTCTCCAACTCCTGGGGGGTTCCAAGAAGAAAAAAAAAAAACGCCTCCGGTTGAACTTCGCCATAGGCCGGAGGACCGTGCTAGTGGGCAGTTAATCGGGGTTAGTTGTTTGTGGGGATAACTGCACCTGGCATAGTTCCAAAGTTACCCTCTTTCGAACCTCTTACATGCCCCATGGCTACTGGCTGCCCCGATAGGAGCCTGTATGGGCTTCCCTGCAGTTCCCAGTTCCGGAAGTTCCACAGCCGGAGCCAGGCAGCCAGACGAACTCAAACACCAAAAGGCTACCAGTAGCAAGCATGTTTTGGCGAGCAGAACCCCATTAAACGACTTTCCTTGTGGGCATGGATCGCTCTTGTCGCGGGAACAAAACCGCGGGGGGCGCCCACTGAATGACACTCATGGCTTCTGCTCACCAAGAAGAAATCCACAAAAAAAGAAGGTATGAGATCCACACTCCACACTGCACCACAGATCGCCCAAGCGCTGCATACAATCAGAAGAAGGAACCAGCTTGTAAATGAAGGGCCTGGAAGAATCAAACCATTTTGTTGTGGTACGCCCCAAAACCATGCAAGTGAAAGGGAGGGGTAGGGCAAACACCCGCAAGTAAGGGATCCATCGGAGTCATGACAACCTTGGACTTGCCAAGGCTCCTTAAGCCTGCCCAAGCCGCCTCAGGTCCAGAATTCCAAGTGGCAAGGTTCTGTAGCGCTTCCTTTCATCTCCCCCTTCCACCACCCCCCCCTCTTTTGCGTTCCCCACGCAAGCTAGTGTCTAATCAGGTGAGCACCTCTAGGCCAGTTCTAAGCCAGCAAATGCTCTGCTTCAACCAGACTACGGAATCGACAAAGTTTTTTGCAAACCACGAACCCTTTAACCACTAGGCCTATAGCAAAGCCGCACTCATCCAATCTGGCAGCTGATTGGGGTTGGAAGGAGCCCAAAGACCCGGCCCGAAAGGGGCTCTTCGCTTCCATTTTGGCTGACCGACCGTGACGTCGAGCTTAGGATCAACGCAGTTTGCATTCCCCTGGGATGGATCTCCAAGCATGTGCCGGATTTCGTCTTCCCTCACCTTTTACAGAACAGAACAGTGCCAAACCAACACATTGACCTCTGCTGCTTGCCGTCCTTCCTCGAAAACCGCCGTTTTGAATGCTCTTTGGGCATCCGCACGGATCCAAACAGGGGTAGCTGCCCCAAATCGCAAGGATTACTCCTTGTTGGGAGCGGTCGTATTTGCTTACTGCCGGGTTAGCACCCAAGGTGACACGAAAAAGGTCAAGCCCCAAAGCTTGCAGATCCACACCACATCCTGCGTGAGCTGCTTCAGGAGCTCCTGCCACCGCGGCGCCATGGAGCTGCGCTCCAAAAGGGCCGCAAACCGACCCGAAGGCGGAGAGTGCTTGTGGCTCGCTACAGAACGTGGAAGGGTTCATACACCTGAGCCGAGACATGCACATTGCGAGCTGAGAGATGGGCCGCTTGAGCCGAGAAATGCCAAAATTGGGCCCGGGTCCATTTGCTTTTGAAAGGCTCACGGCGCATCGCTCTTTTCGGGCTCGCGCCCGCCAGCTGAGAATCCTGTGGGTCTTTATTGGGAAGGCATTTCATAAGAAAGGACCCACTTTTTGACGGGAACGCAAAAAAGAACCCCCCCCCCTTCCCGTTCTGCGGGCTTCAATTTGTGGATGCGTTTGATTCTCGGAACCAGATAAATGTGCGTCCCTGAGTTGCAGGAAAAATAACGCATTTCCCCAGGAGCGGGCGTCTGCCCCACGCTCCCGCCATGCTCCCATGTTGTTGTTTTTTTTGCCACCTCTCGCTCGCCAATGAAATCGCCATGTCCAATGCCTTCTCCGGATCAGGCGTAGCCTGCAGCGGCGAGCAGCTGCTGCTGCTCCGAGGACAACTTCACCGCCCGCGTGGCCTCAGAGTTTGGGCGGTCTATGCGTGTCTGCTGGCAACTACTGGATCTACTGAGCCTGTGAGGAACCCCACAAGGACCCCCCAATAGGTTTGACGCAACAAAAATCCTGGTGGCTCCTTCTAGACGATTTGACCATCTGTGGGGATATCAGGCACCCGGTGAGTGTTGCTCTTCGCGTTCAGCCTGCTGCAACTTTGAAACAAGACCGACCGAGACAAAGCCATCAAGCAGTCAATCAGAAAGGCAAACCTGGGGTCCTCCCCAACAAATGGACAATTGCCCGTTTGCTAAAGGGTTGGGCGGTCCCCACAAACATTATCTCCAAACAAGCATTTGGAGTCCAGAGCCTCTGTGGGCAACCAAATTCCGCGCCTCGCTTTTGGCCCTCAGGGTGGCTACCTGTCGACGAGACGCAACTGGGAGTGCGAAAATAAGTTGCCTGGACAACATGTGCATTGATAAGCCCCGTCACGCCCCCCCCCCTTTCGTCCTCTTTGTCTCAGGGGTCTTTGCAGGGCTGGGGTCTATAAAACTCGAGTTGTCGGTGTTTTCGCTTGCCGTGGCTATTTCCTGCGGATTTTCGGGCCAGGGCTCGAGTCCCAGGGGAGCACTTAGCAAGGAGGCAAGCTTCAGGGGAGCACGTTTGCTGAGTCTAACGGGCATTTAGCAAAGGAACGAGTTCCAGCCTAGCCTGTCTCGCATCATCGCAATTGGCATTTGCTCATCGAAAACACTTCGCTTGCAAATGCAGTGCACGTGATTCAACCAAGGAGTGTTGTTATTCCCCCAAGGACCCCTCCCTTATGCAAACGATCGATTTCACACTTAAATGAAAAAGGGGGATGCAAGGGGAGGCGGGTTGGGTAATCTATGGCAGTATGCCTATTGTGAAGTGCACATTGAACAATATGCATGCTTCCCCAGAACATCATCGCTCCGATCGGAAGGATATGCATGCGCCTTCTTCTTGTGAAAGGCCGCGCTCTTGACCTTCCGCTGCGACTCCAGGCGGTCAATGAGAGCGCCGTGCTTCCAGCCCACCTGGCAAATCGGTCTCGAGCCGCGCTTGGGGGTTGGCATTCGCACAATCCGAGGCACTAAGGTCCCAAGATCTCGCTTCCTCAATGGATTTGCAGCAAGCAAATACACACTTCCTGTTTAATCAAAGGATCTTTGCCAAATGCCCTCCAAAAAGGACCAACACCCCTGCACCTTGTTGAGGGACCTTTGGAGGTGCCCCGTTCATCTTCAGAAGTGACGGCTCTGGAGGATTTGGGGCTGACGTATTTTGGCTCTCTTGGTTGGAGGCAGGAAGTTCAAATTGGTTGTCTGAAAGGATCTTTCTCCCAAAGGATCTTGGACAAACCAAAAAGATTCTGTTGAGTCTAGAGTACCTGACTCAGGATCTTTCCAACAAGTGCCAAAGTCCAGTAACTAGGGAAACGAGATGGTGGCCATTCCCCAGCGGTCTTCCCTACCAAATCAGGAGAAATTCGAGAAATCCTTTGTCGATGTGAAGATTGGGGAACCACTTGATGCATGCTTTGGGTTGAAAAGGAACCATCTGATGAAACATGCTGCCCGAAGGAAATCAAGCAACAAATCGAACATCCCCCCCATGTGTTCCATTCAACCTTCAGGGAGCGCGGTGTTGAAATCTTGGTCTCTCCGATTGTCAAGCCCCGATGACAATCATTTCACGAGCAATCTGGTTTTCCCAGGTGACAAACAAAATCACGCTTCAGATTCCCAGGCGAAAGTCCCTAAACTGTTAAACATGAACTAGGTTTGGGCTCCCTACGTGGTGTTAGGGCTCCAACTGTTCGGTTCTGCTCTAACCAGGGGTGCCTCCCTGGGCTCACTTAAATCGTGCTCCTCTTGTGTTGTGTCATTTCCGTCACACATGCCGCATGGAGAATGCAACCTCAAACGCTCGGAAGAAACCCTTTTGCCTGCTTCTTCCGCATGCATCGTCAAATCCTCGCCTTTTTAAAGGCTGTGCAAGAAGCGCATCATTCCGATGCGTTCGTTCATAATACGATTTATATGATCGTCTTGCATGGGACCCTCGCTCGAAAACAAACAAACCTGGCAATCTGGGAACATGCAGCTTCCTTGGTTGAACGCAAGCAGGCTTTGCTAAACAACTTAAGAGGGGGTCGCCAATGAACTGATACAACTCAGGATGCCTGCGCTTTGCATGGCTCTGGGGCTGCGCCCACTAACTCTCCCGAATTCCCACGTCTGGGGATTGGCATCTCCGTAAAAACCTCTCCTCGCCAGTTCCTGGCTCTGGTCGCTTTGCAGGCTGCGCAGCTATGCCCCCTGTGGCCTGCCACTCTGCAACAATTGAATGGGAAACTTAACCGGTTTCCTGAGTCACTGGTAGCGGGGGCAAGGCCTGCCCACATTGCCAAATGTTGAACATCTCTTAATGTCCCAGACTCAAACATGCGTGACGGACCAACCCATCGCTCCTCTAAAGCATGTTTGGATAGCAGCGAGAGGTGAGGGCCTAAAACATCGGCGTTTTTCACCCGACAATCAGCTGCTCCAAACGGACGGCGAAATTGGTTTAAGGCAGCTCACTTTCGGAAGAGCTCGTCCAGGTTCTGCAAATACTTGGGAAACGGGCGTGCCAGTATTGGACCCAGCTTCCCCGGCTGCTTCCTGACCGCACACGAACGTCTCGCTTCTGACATGCCTCTAGGGAGAAGAGCGAAGACGTGCAACCCCCCTAGGAAAAGTTCTTGGCAGCTTTGTGGAAGGAGTTGAGAAGGGTTCTGGGAACCAGTCTCGAAAGCGAGGGGGGCGCTAACGCCTCTCCCGAAACACTGTCTTCTAAGGACCGCACCAAGTGCAAACAATTCGATGTGTTTGGCAATCAGTTTTAGGATGGAACCTTCCGCTTCCCCAGCATGCGTTTGTATGCGCGTGCGTTGGGACATTGTTCTTACAGCCTGATTGACAATGACAAGTAGGCCTCATGAAGATCTGGGAAGGGTGTCCTTGAAATCTCCATGAGTTTCATTCAGTTTGCTCCCAACACACATTGGGCATCGTTGCATGGGGCCTTGGAGCGTTTTCCTCCTGTAGATGCTCTATGTGGCCTTGGCGTAGTGTGATGTTTTTCGCAAAGGGCGGCTATCGTAGCGAGCCCAATGCAAGCTTGAAGCTTGTGCCCCGTCTGTCTGTGGCTGGAATTGGACTCATCCCGCCCGGTGACAGTTCCGTTCCAAAACCAAAAAGGAACTGTCGCAACTTTCGGCGTATAAGACATGCCCTTTCTGAGCTTAGGGAACAACATAATGAATCAGAAACGACGGTAAAAACGGCGCAGAACTGACAACTTAATGTGTAAACGAATGACGAAGCAATGAGCGCCGAGGCTCTCACCAAGCAGCCCGTCATTTGGGAAGACGCGACTTGTAAAACCCTGGAGCCGGTAGAAGTGTTCCACAGAGAGCGAGTGGTCGCTGCCGGTGTACCTGGCAGAAAAATCAACGCATGTGCGAACCTCATCTCAGAGTTCCTTTACATGTCCCCGCAAAACGGACATACCCTGGATTTTGGCGGGGCCAGAGACCCATGAGGCGAGGAAGCAAGTTCTGTGACAAACGAGCATTCCATCACGCACTTTCTGTCATGATTTCTTCTGCTTCATTGGCAGGGGGCTCACTTTGATAAACTTCCCTGAAACATGTCACAAGCACCATCAAAGTCACCAAGGAAGCCCTGACTTGTTGGTGTTTGGCTGGCTTGGCCCCCCCTTTCAACAGAAAGCAAGAGGAAAGTAAACATGCGCGAAACACGCGCGAGACAACACACTGTATCGCGGGAATAGAAATGTAAAACAAGTGCAGGCATCTGCTGGTTTCAGTTCTTTCGGATACTCGACAGGTAACCGGATCTTGAAGCCATGGCACAGCCCTCCGAAGCACGCTCGAAGCAAGCTCGGAGCGCGTTCCGAGCGCGCTCAGAGCCGGGCCCATTGGCTGCCGGCGCAGCACTTTTGCAAAGGCCACGCACTTGGGAAAGGTCAGGTGCCAACTGGCGCAGCTCTTTTGCAAGATCTGGTGCGGGTTTGTGGCAGGCGATGCACCTTCGCAAGGTTATTCGCAGATTTCGCGGCAGGCGCAGCACTTTCGCAAAATAGACCGACTAATTCATGCAAAGGAAAAAACAGCTCATAGATGGGCAGGCGCGGCACTTGCGATAAACAGGGGAAAATAGCTTGGTAGGAAAGCAACAAAAATAGATAGACCAATGAGCCCATAGATAGACAACCAAACAGAGAGATAGATAGCTAAGACAGCAAGTGGGAAATGACATTTGGGTATAGAGCTTGCTTTGATTTGAAAAAAGGAAAAGCTGTCAAAGGAAGTTGAACTTCTTGCGGCACGGACACTGGCAGAGAGCCAGCTTTCTGACAGAAGACAAGACAAGAACAAGCACACGCGAGAAAACATGTGCGCGTGTGGCGGAGGAATCCGCCATCTGCGGTTTTAGGTTGCTTCGGGCGCGCCTGGCTAGAGCGCGCTCAGCCGGGCCCATGGGCACGGGGTCGCGAGCAGCACTGGCGCAAGCTCGGAATGCTCAGGCGAAGATTTCGTGGCAGGTGCGACTTTTGCGTGGGCAGGTCCAGGTTGCAGGCTCAGCTCTTTCGCTTTATCCTTTCTTTCCTTCCTTTTGTCTTTCTCGTTGTCTTCTCTTCTCTCTTTTGCTTTATCTTCTCTTTCATTTGCTCTTCTTCCTCTTTTCCCTTTCTCTTTGTCCATCTCTCTATCTGTTTATCCATCTCATCTATCTACCAACCTATCTAGAGAATCACATAGGAAGTGGGTAGGTTGACAAATAGACAGATAGATAGAACGATAGATAAGGGTGGATGGATGGGCTGATGGGTGGATGGATAGATTGCTAGCTAATGCACACGCAGATAGATGGGTGCATTCATTTACAACTACATGGGTACCTGTCTATACTTCTGTCACCTACTATCCCTCTATCCATCGATCACAAAATCCATCTACCTACCGATCGTCTCTCTCTCTCTCTCGTTAAAATTGGTTGTTACTTTTCTTACAAGTGCAAGTGCTGTAGTGTTCAAACAAACAGTCAAGCAATGTAGTCTGCAGCTGCCAACCTTTTGACTCATGCGGAGTAGTAAGCTCAAGGCCTGCGGTAGTGAACATACATGCAACAAGAGTGCAAAGTGAAGCATGTAGTTTGACACGGCCCCTCAGTTAAAAGGTCTTTGTAGTACCTTTTCAACTGAAGTGCAAAACATGGATTGACAGTAGTGATGAAAACCATTTTTGTTCATCAATTCTACTGTATTGACAAAAGTAGTGACCTGCGCTCAGTAGTTCACGCTGTTCAGGTTCCAGCTCGATGTAGGGCGCTGGACGGAAGTAGTGAAGGCAGGCACTCGTTGTAGTAGAGCAGGAGCTCAAAGTGTAGTACCCAGTTCTGGGTGCGGTAGTCTTGGACCTTCTGTAGTCGACTGTCCAAGGTCGCGTAGTAGTTGGTGGTGAAAAAGTTTGTCATGTAGTTTGGAGCTCCCCGTAGTCGCTCATCGTCAATCTCGGGACACGACATGTGTTGTTCGTAGTCCCGTAGAAAGCGGTGTAGTAGTGCTTTGTGGTGTTGTGTGAGGTTGGTCATTGTGAGTAGTGTGAATCCGTAGTATTGGATGCTTTTGCAGAGGATTGTAGTGATTGCTTTGTGTTGGTAGTCGTGGAGTTGGTCTCTGTTGTAGAGGTAGTGGAGTAGTTCAGGTAGTAGTAGTGGCATGTGGAAATTCCAAACGTAGTTGTTCCTGAGGCTGTAGTTGTCAGTGAAGGTGGCCATGTTGTAGTTCACCTTGAAGATGGTCTGTGGCAGTGTTGTAGTCGGGAGGTAGTAGTTGTGTTGTACCGACATCATGTAGGAGATGTAGTCCCTTGTGAAGTGTAGAAATTGTCTTGAAGTGAGGTACCTCAGGAGTAGTGGTTGTTCAATCTGGAGTTGGATGATGACGTAGTTGTTGTTGTCGCCAG